CAGGAATGATAGCCTCTTCAATAAATGGTGCTGGAAAAACTGGGTTTCAACTTGCCAATTATTAAAACTACACCTGTAGCTCTCACCATGCACTAAATTAAAATCAAAATGGATCAAAGATCTAAATATTAAAACAGAAACATTAAACCAGCTGCAAGAGAGGTTACGTAGAACTCTTGGAAGACATTGCATAGGAAAAGATTTAATAGACAAAACCTCAGCTGCATGTGAAGTAGCACAAAAAATCAACAACTGGTATCTTTTCATATTAAAAAGCTTCTGCCCAGCAAGAGAAATGATTAGCAGTGTGAGGAGACAACCAATAATGTAGGAAAAAAATTTCACCAGTTGTTCCTCAAACAAAGGCCTACTGTCTAGAATATATAAAGAACTGTAAAACATTACATCTCCCAAATTTTAAGACCCAGCTAAAAAATGGGCATCTGAAATGTACAGACATGTCTCAGAGAAAGAAGTAGAAATATCAAATAAATATATGAAAAAAATGTTCACCACTGGACATTCGAGAGATGCAAATAAAAACAATGCTGAGATTCCACCTCACCCCTGGAAGAGTATACTTAGCTTAAATCACTGTAAGTTATGGACATATTATGAAAAGTAAATGTATAGTATCTGTCAGGAAATGTTCACATGATGGTTGATGAAGCAAAATTTTAAATGTACGCAGGGTCCATCCATACAATACTCAGCAAAGTACTCAGGTGCCTTTCTAGATTTCTTTCTTGGCTTTTGCATTTGACCACTTCAGCATAGTTTTCTCACAAATTCCAAGTAGGAGACCATCTTGGGCCATTTGGAGTTATTCTCAACGGTCTGGCTGAACAGCTGATGGCAAACTTTGTTAGAAAGCTAACAGGATTCTAGTAGGGATGGCGAATCTTTTAGAGTTTTCAATAACACACACAGCTCCCTGTTGCATGCGTGCCATAGGTGTACCAGCACTGCTCTATTGTTTTCTATCATGCAGTTCTTGTCATCACTTGGTCTTCTTTACCTTTGGCACTATTTTCCCCTTCCAAGCCCTGATTCCTTCAACAATAAAATACTAGAACTGAACCAAGCTTTTGAACAAATGGACTTATTAGATATCTACAGAATGTTCCACCCTACAAAATTAGAATATGCATTTTTTTGGCTGCATACGGGTCATTCTCCAAAACAGACCACATACTAGCTCAAAGAACAGGTTCAAATACATGCAAAGGAATCAAAGCTATCCCATGTATATTATCAGACCATTATGCAAATAAATTGGAGATCAATAGTGTAAGAAACTGTAAGAACTTCATAAACACATGGAAATTGAACAACACTCTCCTGAATAATTGATGAGTCACAGAAGAAATTAGTCAGTTTTTACAAGTAAATGATAACGCCAATGCAACATACAGGAATCTATGGGACACAATGAAAGCAGTTCTACCTGGAAAATTCATAGCAGTGAATGCCCACACTAGGAAAACAGAGCGAGCTCAAATAAACAACCTAATGATGAATCTTAGGCTCCTAGAAAAAGAGGAGCAAGAAAAACCCAAAACTCACACAAGGGAGGAAATTATAATGATCAGAACAGAAATGAATGCAATGGAAACTAAGAGAATGATATAAAATAATCACTGAATGGAAGAATTGATTTCTTAAGAGAATAAATAAACCAATAAACCCTTAGACAATGTCAAAAAGAGGAATGAAAAGTCTCAGATCCATGCAATTAGGAATGAAAAAGGTGAAGTCAGAACAGATCTAGGAGAAATCCAGAGGATCATCAGTACCTAGTTCAAGAACTTGTACTCTAATAAAATGTAAAAAAAAAAAACAGAAGAAAAGGACAGATTTCTTGATACTTATGAGTTACCAAAGTTGAATGAAGAAGATATAAAAATTCTAAACACCCCAAATTACAATCAGTGATATTAAAAATGTAATTAAAAGTTTACCAATGAAGAAAAGCCCAGGTCCTGACCGATTCATTGCTGAATTGTACAAGACACTTAGAGAAGAGCTGCTGTCACTACTCTTTAAACTTTTCAGTGAAGTTAAAAGAGAAGCAATACTTCCAAATTCATTCCTGGAAGCAAGTGTTACTTTGACTCCCAAACCAGGGAATGACCCAACCCAAAAGGAGAATGACAGGCCAATCTCCTTAATGAACATAGATGCAAAAATCCTCAACAAGATACTGGCAAACAGAATACAGAGGATCATCAAGACCTGACCAAATTGGGTTTATCCCAGGGATGCAAGGATGGTTCAACATACATAAATCAATAAATGTAATACATTATATTAACAGAATCAAGAACAAAAACCATATGATCATCTCCATAGATGCAGAAAAAGCATTTGACAAAATTCAACACCCATTCATGATTAAAAATCCTTGAAGAAAATTGAAACAGATGGTCTTTATCTCAACTTCATAAAGGCTGTCTATGAAAAACTAACAGTCAACATCAATTTAAATGGCCCCAAACTGAAAACCTTCATGTTAAAATCAGGAACAGTTAAAGTAAAGATGCCCACTATCACCATTCCTGTTCAATATAGTTCTGGAAACATTAGTCCCAGCAATTAGACAAGAGAAAAAAATTTAAGCAATAAAGATAGGAAAGGAAGAAGTTAAACTGTCATTATTTGTTGATGATATGATAGTCTACATAGAAGACATTAAAAATTCTGCCAAAAAGCTTCAAGACTTAATTGACACTTTCAGCAGAGTAGCTGGATACAAGGTCAACACTCAAAAATCAATAGCCTTTTTGTACCAAATAACAGACTCACTGAGAGAGAAATTGGGGAAACAATTCCTTTCAGAATAGCATCCCAAAATATGAAGTATCTAGGAATCAAATGAAAGAAGCAAAATACCTCTACACTGAAAACTACAGCACTCTGAAAAAGAGATTGAAGAGGATATAAGAACATGGAAAGATACCACTGCTCCTGGGTAGGAAGAGTCAACATAGTGAAAATGGTCATACTACCAAAACTGCTATACAGATTCAATGCAATCCAAATTGAAACCCTAACAGTAAGTTTCACAGAACTAGAGAAAATAATCCAAAAATTCATTTGGAACCAGAAAAGACCTACAATAGCAAAAGCAAATCTAGGCAACAGGGACTTGGCAGGCAGTATTGCAATCCCCAATTTGAAACTATACCACAAAGCCATTGTGATAAAAGCAGCATGGTACTGGCAAAGCAAAAGACCCAAGGATCAGTGGAATAGATTAGAAGATACAGAAGCGACTCCAGATGTACTCAGCTACCTCATCTTTGACAAAGGAAACAACCATCATCAGTGAAGGAAAGATAGCCTCTTTAATAAATGGTGTTGGAAATACTGGATCTCAACCTGCCATAGATTAAAACTAGACCCTTATCTTTCACCATGCACTAAATTAAAATCCAAGTGGATTAAAGATCTCAATATTAAAAATGAAGCACTAAACTTGCTGGAAGATAAACTAGGCAGAATTCTTGAAGACATTGGCATAGGAAAAGACTTTATGAACAAATCCTCAGTAGTACAGGAACTAACACAAATAATGATCAACTGGGATCTCATCTTATTAAAAAGCTTCTGCACTGCAAAATAAATTGCCAACAGAGCTAAGAGACAACCTATAATGTGGGAAAATATTTTTAACAGCTGCTCCTCAGACAAAGGACTATTATCTAGAATATATAAAGAACTCAAAAAAAAAACCAGCCCCCCAAATATAAAGACCTGATTAAAAAATGGGCATCTGAAATGAGTAGACATTTCTCAGACAAAAGAGTAAAAGCAGCAAATAAATATATGAAAAAATGTTCAACATCATTGGTCATTTGAGAGATGCAGATGAAAACAACACTGAGATTTCATCTCACCCTAGAAAGAATGGCTGCTATCAAGAAATCAACCCATAACAAATGTTGGTAGGGCTGTGGGGAGAAAGGGACCCTTCTCCATTGTTGATAGGTGTGCAGGCTGGGGCAACCACTGTGGAAATCAATATGGAGATACCTCAAAGTACCAGTACTAGAGGTCCCATTTGACCCAGCCATCCCTCTGCTGGATATCTTTCCAAAAGAATGAAAAGACTCATACCACAGTGATATATGCATACCCATGTTTATAGTGGCACAGTTTGTGATAGCTAAAGCTTGGAAACAGCCCAATTGCCCATCAGTTGGGGACTGGTTAAAGAGGATGTGTTTTTTCTCTAAAATGGAGTACTACTCAGCCATAAAGAATGACAAACTAGAGTCATTCATAGGAAAATGGATGCATATTGGGGCCATGCTCTTAAGTGAAATAAATAAGACATATGCGTAAATACCAAATAGTTTCTCTGGTGTGAAAAACCAAAAGTGTAAATAAGATCCAAATAGTATAACTGACAATGTGAAATAGGAAGAAAAGAGCTAAAGGTGTAGGAGAAGTGGGAAGGTTAGGGGACAGGAAATAAGGGAAAAGAAAAAAATATGAGAAAAGGAAAAAAATGAAAACAAAGTCTTTGTAAATAGAGGAGGTGGAAGGGGGTAAAGGGAAGGCTGGGATATGGGGAAAAAATAAGAACCAAGATCTGTTATGCAAAGGTACAAGATCCCAATGATAAATGTGACTGTACTGTATACTTTAAAAATACCAACAAACTCAATGAAAAAAATTTTTTAAATAAAATAAAACATAAAAACTTTATTGTTTTGTTTTGTTTTTTGGTACTGGGATCGAACTCTGGTCCTTGTGCTTGCACGGCAGGCAGCGGAACCACTGAGCTAAATCTCCGCCCCTAGAAAAACTTTAAATCTTCTAAAATAAAAATAATTTGATAATAAAATGAGTATGATATCTATAAATAACTTTTCAGGTTTGAGCCTTGTGTTTTCTATATTTTCCACATGAAACCAACCATGTAAATGAATACTTAAAATTTTCAAATTTATGGTCTAAAAAAAGTGATTTATTGATAGTTTAATTTGCATTACCTTGGACAGTTTGGTCTTGGATTCACACTTTCCTTTGATAACAAAGTCATTGATGAGACGAGATCGGTCATAATTAGCATGTTCTGATTCATCCATGTAATCCTTATCTTTTCCTAGGGCTGGAAAAGAGGGTGGAAAAGTTATTTTCATCTGCATCTTCCTTCTTTCTCTTCCCTGGAACGCATGGATCTCTCATTGTCCATTCTGTCTAGTTCTTCCTAAGTATACTTTCTGGGGATACATCCATCCATAAGTCACCCCACAAGAGCAATCCACGAAAGCTTTGTCTGTTACCGCATTAATGCTGACCCTGAGGAGACTTTCTTGAGTGTTACTGCATCTCTGCTATTCAATGTGGTCATGCTTTTGGAAAACAAAACCATGCAAACTGTATTGGATGCACATCTACTAAAGACAGAGATATTTATAAGAGTTGAAGAGATTATTAATTCTTCATAGCTACACTCATTTTTATATTTTTTCTTTAAAGTTGATAAGTTTTAACAATGTGAATTTGGCCGAAGGGTAAAAGAAACCCAGAAGAAAGAAGAAAATAAAAAGGAAAACCTGCTACAGATATAAAGAAATATCTAAAAATATTTCTATTTATATATATAAAGATATATAAAGAGATTAAAATTAGGCGATGAACACTGCAACTGCCACCAAAGGGGAGAATGATCGGACTGGGAATTAGCTCAGTGGTGCAGCTGCCTGCCTTGCAAGTGCAGGGTCCTCAGTTCGATCCCCAGTACCGAGAGAGAGAGAGAGAGAGAGAGAGAGAGAGAGAGAGAGAGAGAGAGAGCTATCATTAGAAAACATACAAGACACTATAATAATAATTGTATAAAGATGCCTGTGAGTAACCAATGAGCTATAATCAGTGTGAAGCAGACTCAAATAAGAATTCTCTGTGGTTGCTCTTGTTGGGCAGAGCTGTAAATATATTTTACTATATTCCCACTCCCTGGGCCACCGTGATCTCAAATTCAAAGATGGACAGAGTCAGCCTCTTCAAAAAAATCAAAATGTCTTGATGAGAGATGTCCCTGAATCTGTTGCTATCTATTGAATGTGAGTATCGGTGTGGATGACTCTGCAGTGTTTTCAGGGATTTAGTCCCCTGACTCATCCTGAGGAAGAAAGACAGCTTTGTTTCTAATGAATATGCCTTGGTAATGGGCAGAGTCTGCTCAGCATGGTACGTAATGTCACAGCAGCTAAGGATATCACATTAGTGGTGGTCTAACCAGTCATGTGGTTGCATCTCCACTACTGACACCTAACACCGATTGCAAATGAGCATTTGCTGAGTGCATGCCGTGAGCCAGAAGCACTGCACATTTTGTTTCCTGTCCTGCTGATATTAGCTCTCTGCAGGGATAGTGATTTTTCATACATTTAATAACAATTAAACTAAAGCTCAGGAAATAAAGTGACATCAACGTTACTAAGCTAGTAAGAGGCGTATCTAGGACTGCAACACATCTGACTCCAAGCTGAGGTTTGTGAATATAATGTTTTCCTAGTTTAGGTAAATGACATTTAATTCATTTAATAATTGATCATTAGACATCTATGATGTAGAAGGCACTCACGAGTGTTGAGGATACAGTGAGAAGCACAACCGTGCCTTCCCTGAACATTCAAGTAACAGGAGAAGAGCGGCTCTTTAAAAGCTGAAGCACAGAGAATGTGTGATGGTCAGGCCACTAGAGGGAAATACATCAGCAAAAGCAAGCAAGAACTCAGGTGTTGAAGGCCATGGGGAGCCATCCTCGTGCAGAGAATAGCAATGACTTTACAGCAAATCCCTGTAGAGGGAGTCACACAGGTGCACTGGGAGAGGAGTGGTCCACACAGAGCAAATGCAAGTGAAATGCTGGACCTACCTTAATGTACCATGTAGCAAGAAACACACTGCTCTTTTGGAGTTGATTTACTAGAAACCCTACCAGGACTGAAGTGTAAGTTGCTAGTTTGTAAGGCATGGGGTGCTGGGGCTCAGTGTTTCTATTTTATGACACTCCCTTCAGCTCTTTCTACTTGCTCCCCATCCTGTCCTCTCGCTTGATCTCAGACCTCAAGCAAGAAACCCTGCATGGTGCCACAGCCAGAGGTACTGGTGTAGGCTACTGTAGGCTGTGCCTGGGCTGGCAGTCATGATGTGTGGCCTTCTACCATCTGTCCACCTTGTCCTAGCCAGGCAATGTCCTGTTCTTCCTTCCTCTGTAAGAGAGATTTTATTTTTTATTTTTTGGTTTTTTGAGACAGGGTCTCACTATGTAGTTGGGACTAACCTGGAACTCACTATGTAGCCCAGGCTGGTCTTGAATCCACAGTGATCCTTCTACCTCAGCCTCCCGAGTGTTGGGATTACAGGCATGTGCCACCGCCATGCCCGGCAAGAGAGATTTTAAAAGCAGGCCTCAATGCTCTAAAAATTAACTAATGTGGAGACCAAATTGACTCCATTTTGCTAACTCTATTTTGCGATCAGGTCACTGCCCAGTTACTGGAAAAATCCCAATGGGCCCATTTACCTAGTTCTCAGAAAAACCCATGACCGGTCTCGAAAGTTGTCACCAGATGTTCTCTTTTGTTAATCTTACAAAAACTTGTGGTTAGGACAAGGAGGGACATCTGGCCTGGGCCAATCAAGCATTGAGAAAACACACCTGAGGACCATGGCGGATATACTAGATGGTGCCCAACAGGCTGGGGTCTTGGAAGACATCCCTGGCCCCTCTGGGTAGGGACGAAGAGCCCTACATCTGTTTTCTGAAAAGGCGAAGTGGTTGCTATCACCGTACGGCCTTGGGCCGTCACCTTTGTTTTGGTTTTGTTTTTGGTGCTGCGTGTGTGTCATTTGTGCTTGGTTCTGTGTTTGTCATGTTGATGGAGACGGACGTGGACAGAATGGGACAGTCTCAGACTACCCCCCTTTCTCTGATGGTTGGACATTTTAAAAAGGTTAAGGCATGAGCGCAAGGCCTATGTTTGCTTGTTGGTTTCAAGTTTGTTACAGAAGGTTTACTTTTACAGTAACAAAGAGCTTTCATTCCCTTTGATTCTAATTCTATGAGAGATCTGTTAATTGACCTGCAAAAGCTTTGACTAATCATAACTAGGAGATTTTATAATTCAATTGGCCAAATACATTTGAGTGTATTATGGTTTCACAAATTGTCTTACAAGTTTGTGTCTGTCTGTCCAATTGTTTAAAAAGTGATTGTCCAATTATATTTTGATTAAATTGACATCAAAATTTCAAATAATTTGTTAATTTCTATAATCTGGTTTTGTAAGTTAAAATTTTGTCAAGATAATTAAGTATAAACTCTAAGTAGGTCTAAATAGACTCCTGTTAAAGTGAAAGGACAGCTGCTCAGAAAAATTTATTCTGGTCATTATTCACTAGCAGACTGGAGCCTACTGCAGAGGATTCTGGAAATGTTTCAGGGATCCCAGGGTATTCAGTGTAAATAAGTGATAAGTGTTGAGATAGATCATGTTTAATATGATTTGAACACTACACAATATATACAGTGTAGGTAACAAAGCATTAAGTAGTACCCCATGAATTATATGATTTTTAGGATTTTATGTATCAGTTACATTTTAAACATTTTGAAAAAACTGAATAAAATAAATATGTCTCTCATTATTAGGAACATAGTTATGCTTTCTTTTCTTATTGCCATCTGTCTTAAAATTATATGAAAGGATACATATTTATCTAATCACAGTTCCTTTGTACTTGCAATATTGCAAACTCCTGACAGTATAGTGCCACTGCTGCCTTTTATAATGCTCAGAAAAATGTCTGCTCAGTTGAGCCACTAGAAACCACTGCTCTTAGTAGTTTAGTGAAGGATTTTCATGAATATAAACAGGGATTCAGGGATTGACACAGTTTTTGTGTTCTGCAAAACACTTGCTTTTTCCTTTCAGTGATTTTATGCTCAGTAGAGCCCTTATGGCTGTGTGTGTTCTCTTCGGATGGCTATTAGGTCGTGGTTAACAGGTCTCACGTGCCCTTTATTCATTGGATAAATGCGGTGAGCTCTGCAGTAGGCTAAAACTGCTCTAGCTGGGATACAAGAGAAAACACAAGGGACAGGAACTCCTTCCCTCTTGAAAATGACAGTGCTGAAGCTAGAGGAACAGCAAATATACACCTTCTATGTATTTATCAGCAGGGTGATGTGGTCAATGGAGAAAGGTAAACGAGGGAAGGGAAAGCATTTGCTCTTTTTCACAAGGTGCTTAAGGAAGGGCCCCTGCATTAATGCTGGAACAAAGAGGCCCAGGAGGTCAGGGAACCTCTGAGGCAGGTGGCTACAGGCCAGGGACCTGGGGCTGGGGTCCAGACATGGTGGCTGGAGAGTGAGGAGCACTGTGACTTCATACTGGAGTACGAATGGAGGGAGTGGCCGGTCCTACAGGGCTCATACCCTATGAAAACCCGTGGCTTTCATTCCTCGTTAAAAGGGGAGAATAGTTGAACAGGAGCACTGTGACATCGTCTCCCTTAGATTGGAACAAAATTGGACTGCCTGATGAGAACGTAGCCAAAGGGGTTCAGCACCGAGGAAAGAGGACTAGTTAGGAGCTCTTGGAAAAACTGAGGGGAGACGATGTGCTTCTAATTGGGATAGTAGAGATTATAAAATGGCGAGACTGAGGATGCTGTTCTAAAGACAAATAACAGACTTCAATGACATACAGCATAGGAAAAGGATGACTTCAACATTTGTGGTCTGAACAATAGAAGCAGCACCCTTCTTCATATATTGTTTCATGAATTTCTTACTAGCCTCCTTTTCACCATGAGAAATCAAGGTCTCATATCCTGCATGGGGCAGAATGAGAATCCATCTGATCAGGCTCGAAACCGCCCCCTCCTCATCCCTGTGCATTACTGCCTCTTCCTAGAAAGTAGATTGCTGAGCAGTAGTTTGGAGAGAGGCTGATTTTGGAAACTTTGAAGTGATGAAGTGTTCACAAAGGCAAGAAAAACTGATTTCCACACAATTTTTTTTTTCCTTTGGTACCAGGGATCGAACTCCACCACACAAATTTTAATGTATTCATTGAATAAAAAGGGTCAAACTTC